ATATATATATATATATATATTTTTATAATGTATTTATACTGCTAGTACATGTTTCCCCCATTCCTTGGAGAGCCACTCAGACAGTAATTAATTTTACTTTTTGGTAATCCTGCCGGCTCTTGGGGGAAACATGGATTACCTTTTCGAATTTTCTGAATATTTACTGTATTGTTATGATAAAAAAAAAAGGCGAAATAAATGAAATGAAATGAAAACACCCATTTCAAATTTTGAAGGTGGGTATACCATACAGTAACATATCCCTTTAACCATGCTATTATCCTCATTTTGGACCTTATGCACAATTAGATAAACTCTATATCTGTGCTATCATCTTCTTTACTCTTCAATCTTTAGAAACAAAACAAGAATAGCAAAAGCTAAAGTAACAAAGAAGCCAGGAGAAAGAGAGAAGGATAAAGAAAAGGAGAGAGCACCAACCCCACATGAGGAGAAGCAACAATCAAAGAAAGGTTAACTGAAAATTAATATCTGTGAATATCAAATGATTATTAATAAATAAGCATATTATGCTTTATTGATTTATTTGTTTTTGTTATAATGGTACATTTAATTTTTTTGCAGCATCACAAACAGAATCTGTTTCAACTTCCGGTACATCAGAACCACCACGGAAGAAACGAGCTAGAACGGATCCAACAGTTGAATCAGTAAATATATATACCCTGATGTGTTCTGTATCTTTTCAATGCCAGTCATCAAATGTGAATTTTTACTACGTTGTTAATAGAAATTGAAGTTGCAACTAGGACTAGTTAATACGTAGTTTGTTTTAAGAATAGATTCTATTAAATTGTATTTTTTATAGGAAGAGTCATTCCTGAATAAAATTGACATCAAAGTTAAGATTCCGGATGAACTTAAGCCAATCCTGGTGGATGATTGGGACCTGGTTACACGGCAGAAACAGGTGAAGATTCTTTCTCTTTAATATTTATCTTTTTTCATTTGTTGATTCAAAATACCACCAGTTTAGCTGACATTGATTATGTTAACTATTGTTTATTAATCAATTTTTATAAATATTATTATTCATTGTTAATTGGTCATCTTGATAGCTTGTACATCTACCTGCTAAGACAACAGTTGATCAACTTTTGGAAGATTACATCAAGCATAAGAAATTAAAGAAAGACTTATCACCAGCAAAGTAAGTAACTAAAACTCTAGAAAAAATTTTTTTGCTATAAAAATTATATTATAAAAAATAATATAGAAAATTATTATTTAAGATTGAAGTAATGTAAGCAACTACTTAAAAGAATAAAATAATATAAAATGTGAATATTGAAGTAATACTGTTAAACTCTATTAAAGTTGTGGATTTCTTTTTTAATAGTCTCATTTTGTAAACCAATAGTCAGTGCTTTATACATATTTTCCCCATGTTTTCTATCCCTCGTGAATTTTGTTGGTAATCGATAATTATTTCCTATTTTCTTTTTAAGATCTTTTTTTGCCACCATACGTTCCAACTATAATTTCTGTATTTGTGTGATTAACTGGCTAGACCTCAACGTTTTCATTAGCATCCAGGCACAGATTGTGAAGGTCTACAGTTACCTATCTTAATTGTTTCAAGAACTGCTTCTTTGTATGCCTACTGTGCATTTTATCAGCTGCTATGCTTCAATTCATTTACATTGTTTACATCAATGATCTTAAAAGCTTATGTTTGTTCTTGCAAAACATTTTTTTTGTGGTGTTTTTTAAAGCATTTCTAATATGCTTGACATAACACCTTATCCCTTTTTATTCCTTTTAAAGTTTTTATTTTGATTTTTAAGCATTGGTATTTCTAGAAAGGTTTCCATGGCCACTATACAACAGCAAATATTTACGGTACACCATGAACTATAAAGCAATGACAAATTATTCATTTTCAAAATGTTTTCTCACCAGAGAAAGTGCGATACTAGAAATTACACAGGGAATCAAGGAATATTTCAATATAATGCTTGGAACCCAGCTTCTGTACAAGTTCGAAAGACCACAGTATGCGGACGTAAGTACATTGTAATTCATCTTCTATTTTGGGATCAAACTGCATGCTCTCTCCTTGGTTTTCATCTCAATTGAGTCAAAATTTTGAAAAACCAGGCTTAAAACAAGACATGTAAACATAAGACAGACAAAAACTTTAAAAGTTATCCAATAAAAGTATGCAGTAGGTACTGTATCACATCCATTGGCATCTTATGCCTATGAAAGCGGTTCTCAACTGGCGGCCCACGGATGATCTCCAGCCTGTGAGTGCGTGTTATGCGGCCTGCGAGAACAATTTTATTTTTACACATCTGTCGTTGGAATGGCCTATTCAATGTTCTAAACAAAATTTATTTATTTTTTTTAGTTTCTTTTCCAAAATATGACAAAACAGGTCAACAAGAACAATTTTATTTCTCTCAATATTTGCCTAGAAAACCAATAATGGTAATGTGTTTTGCTTTTTGTGGTGAAAAATTCCAGTATGGACCAGAAATTAGTGCTTGTAATTTAGTTTTTAATCTGCTCTGTAAATTATAGCTTGTAATTTAAGGCTTCTCAACTACCTGGATATTCTTTTGTAATATAATGACAAAAACATTGCCCCAATAAATTCATCCATTTTGTAGTAAAAAGAAAACAATGTCACAATGTTTTGTCAAGTTGTTTTTTAATAAAACAAAGAAACTTTTATTTTCAAAGTAGATAAGTTATTTAGCCCATAATGCTAAATGTTAATCTAATAAAATGTTATTTACACTCTTGCTAAACAGACTGCCACACTCAAAACATAATGTCTTGACAATAAATTTGAGCATAGCAACAATAATGTTCCACCAAATGATATGTAGGCATATGTCTACGTTATTGGGTCGTAAGGTTGAAATTTGGATTTCTGTTTGGTTTGGTAACTGGAATCTGGTTCAGATTAGTTTGCTCATGGTTATTTTGGTGATCAGAGGCCCTGTAGCACAAGAGCAGACAGGCGATTAAAATTACAGGTCAGAGTGGCCATGCTCCAAACATAAATGCAAGCATCTTAAGTAGTAACAAAATTTCAAATTTAAATTACTTTTATTCATTCATAATAATACAAGTAAAATAATAGTGAATTGAAAAAAAAATAGTATATCATTCATATTGAGTACATGGTTACCGACCTGAGAGATTTGAAATGCGGGACTAGACCAGTGGTGGGGGAGAGGCAGGGGTTGAGCGCCCCTTGCGCTCCGACAATCTGAGTATTTTTAAGCTGTTTTACATAGATTTCGAGGAAAGTTTGTTGACTATACAGAGTACAAAAATATTTTAAATAAAGCCACACAATTTAAGTTTCAATGTACACTATGTTTAATTTAAACACCCGAACTATGTACACAAAAATTTCATTACTTAAACAATCAAAAAATGAATAGGCATACCAGGGGCGGATCCAGAGATGTCCAAAAGGAGGGGGGGCCCCGAAAGGGGGGGGGGCCGAAATTTGGACCGATCGAGACAACAATGTGTGTTCTAGACGCCTGAAAATAACATTTGAGGCGTTGTGGGTTATCATTTTTTTCTTTTTCTTTCTTTTTTTTTTTTACCTCCCAAAAGGGGAACCAGGGCCGGGCCGGGCCCCCCCTAAATCCGCCCCTGCATACTGATTAATTTTTAATAACACATCACTGATACTGTTCCATGACTCAAGTTACTGCATGACTATTTTTATATTTTTAATTAAACCAATTTATTGAATTTTAAATAGATTTTCCCCTGAATTTGTTATCACTCATAAACCTGTGCTAAAGGCGCGACAAATTTATTATCGCACATGTGTTTCAACCATAATCACTTTGAAATGCAGGACGGACCCGCATGATGCGAGATGGTTGGTAACTTTGTATGTTGATATTGTAATTTAATTGAACTAAATTTTCCCAAGACTACATCTATGTCATAGTACGAGGACAATAACAACAGATTTACAACCCAACTATCACCAGATGTTTTCCGGAGGAGAGCAGCTAAACAACTTATTTTAATCTTCCCTCATAAAAACCCACAAAACAAATGAGAATAATATCAGTTATATACACCAATGTACATGTAAACCCACAAAACAAATGAGAATAATATCAGTTATATACACCAATGTCCATGTAAACCCACAAAACAAATGAGAATAATATCAGTTATATACACCAATGTCCATGTAAACCCACAAAGCAAATGAGAATAATATCAGTTATATACACCAATGTCCATGTAAACCCACAAAGCAAATGACAATAATATCAGTTATATACACCAATGTCCATGTATGGATATGCCAGAAAACTGCCTTTCTTTTGGCCATCTTTATTGTAATGAAGCATTTTGAAGCAACGTTCACAAAAGAACCCTGGGTCTGTAGATATATGTGTGTCCTCCTTGGTAAGCCACCTGTGAAGAAGTAAAGCAAATAAATACCAATACATTTATTTACTAAAGCAGACCCACATTTATACAGTGAAAAATATAAAGTTGTACTCTGCAGTAGAAGTATAAGTAAATGCATTGTATTTGAATACTTAGCAAATTTCATATTTGTTATAAAATTAGTTGCATGGAAATAAAACGGTCATTTTTAACAGGAAAATTGCATTATCTGGCAACAATCCAAACAAATACTGTAGCAAGATATTGAAGTGGTGTCACATCACTTATTGTACATTGTATTTATAGATACATACTTTGCAGCATGTTCGTTGCATATCTGGCAGGTGTTCAAATAGCGGAGGTGCTTGTATACAACAAGGGGATAAGCATCAAGGTCCTGGTTGTCATTATTGTGAAGCAACCTTAAAACAAAAACATATCATTATAGAAATGTAGCACAATTAAATACAACTCCACTGTGTAAGCCTCATAAGGATATCTGGTAATCAAGGTCAAATGACAGCTCTCCCATGCACTGCTGCTATATTTTATTATAACTTTAGGCAAACAGGCGAAGGGTATGTCAAGCAGTGAACTTTTCTCATTGGCAGTCCATTTGCAAGACAAACATACACACAAGATGCTCTACATAGACACAATCATGTTATCAGGCTTAGGGTGTCCAGTTTTGGTTGTGGATCACATCTGACATGAATGGAAGTTAGCTGTAGTAGTCATATGTCTATAACAATGATGATTCTCAAATATTAATTTTAATTGTATCAGGTAATTATTGATCCATACCTTATATCTGTAAACATAAAGATATGTTCACAATCTCCTTGATGTCGGTAAAGATATGGGTAACCAAGCCGCACCTTTAAACTACCAATGGTGATTTCATCCATGTCAGCAGATCTGAAGGATTCTGCTCCTGGTACACTGTGTTCTTGTGCCCAGTTAATTATTGGCCTACAAGAATATACACAAATCAAATATAACATGGAATCAATGCCTTAACTAACACTGTATGTGCATTACGGCAGTGTTTTGTGGCCAACTGGAAATTATACATTAATTTATGCACAGATTTTCAGAATATATTGTCATTTTTATTTTATTTATTAAATACTGTACACAATCAGTATAAATCAGAAACATTTTACAGTACATCGATTTTAGTAAGTTAATTCTTAATAAAATGTACACATAAGCAAGTTTGATGAGTTTTATTATACAGTGGCATATATTTTATAAATCATGCAAAAAAACTGCAGATGTTTGTTTTGTTTTGGAACAAAAAACTTGTATAGAAGAATGAGCTCTTTGTGTAGGTTGGACTTGTTGGAGTGTCTGCCCACCAAGCCGGGGGACTATTTGATTGAGTGGGAACACTACAGGAAACAAATGAACCTAAGAGTTGTCCATCTACAACCAATCGTGTCAATGATGAAAAGTTTCCAGTCCTTCGATCCCACCGTGGGGTTGGGGGACAGTATTTTTAGGTTCAGCTCTATATTTCTTGTATTATGTTTGCTTGGAATACCAAAAGTCTACAATGCAGAGGTTGTCATGGTTGGAATACCAACAAAATTAAGTGTATTGTCTCATTAATATGAAATAGGAGATACTGTTTGTAAGATCTGAACCCAGGACTTCCGAATGAGAAGGTGAGCATTCCAACCATCAACCATATAATCATAGTTCTCACTGGCCTAGTGTCAATAATAAATTTATCATTCATTTTAGTAATATATATTTAGTGTAAGTGAAAGAGACATTTTGTCGAATTTGTTGGTTTTTTTTTGTTCCAGTACATTTTGAACTTGTTAGTACGCTGTAGTTTGTACTAAACCAATAAAAACAACAAACTTGCAGCATTTTATATGCTAATCTAATCAGAATGTGAACTTCAATTTGAAAGTTTTTTATCAAAATATGTTTCTAAACTTTCAATAAATCAAACCTTACTGACTGAGATCAGTACACAAAGGATCACTGCGGTCATTATAAAATGTGTCCTCAATAAAGAAGAAGGACGACTTGAAAAGTGATTTAAAGCGAGTGTCTTGTGGCAGATCAGGAGTGTCGCTAAACTCATTAGGAACTTGAAGATCAGAAACACATACTAATTTATCCAACAGCACTGATAAAGTCTGCTCTGGTAGCACCAGTATTTCTCTGTCTACCTTCAAGACAAAAATAATCTAAAATTAATCAAGTGTTCTCATAGAATTTACTGGATTTGTATTACTTTTCACAAAAACAACCTGTTGACATAATGTACTATATTTTTATATGTTACTTATAATTGCAAAGGGCAAACATTAAAATTCATTGGACAGATTTCTCAATTAAAAAAACAAAATTGTTTGAATTACTATTATATTCCATGTACATAATTATGCTTGCTTAATAATATTATGTGTATCAAGTATATATATTGCTGGTTTTGTAGCTCAATAATTAAAGTTAGTAAAAAGTAAACTACAAAAATATGAATTTCATATCATGTTAAACTTGGTTTATTGAATACAGTACTATATTGTAAAGTGGAAGTGAATATCCTTCATTCTTGTACACCTACCTTACACTTTATACTTTTCTCTAGAAATACGATAGACACTACAACTTGTGGATGGTTTAAGAACTTAGAGCCTTTGATCTCTCTCTGAGAATCCTTTGCTCCGTGTCTCTAAAAAATATTTGTACAGTATTCCATAACTTAAAAATATTTTTTTAATGTTAATTTTATATAAATATTTCAATGTTGATTAAATATAAATTTTATTTATATTTACTATTATAATAAAAATGTGCTAGACCGTTTTACACATATATAGAATATTATTTATCACTCACAATAATAACATATGTAAAATCAAATAATTATGTAACAATTGACTTATGAGCATTGTATATCATTCACAATACAGTGGCAGTTTCAAGGGGGAGGGGGGAACTAGCCGGTCCAGGCACCCCCATAAACTTTTCAAAATTATTTTTAAAAATGAGAGGAAAAAAATTACATTAAAATTCAAGTGTTAGAGTTGCATTTGCTGGCCATCTAGAAGTGCCATAATCATAAATTTTTTTACCTCGGCCATTGGGGCTGAGAGGTCTAGATCCTCCATTTTTAAGAGTCCCTCCATGGGTCCCCTGTATCTCAAATTCTTGGATCTGCCACTGCAGTGTCAACATGATGTAAAATAAATTGATGATGTAACATTTGGTGAGTGAAAAGGCAGGAGCACCGCAACCATAACATCGGTACTGGTTCGAACGGCATGCTCGCCTATGGTTTTTAAGTATTATTTATCACTCACAATGTCAACATAATCTAAAACCAAATTGCAACAATTGATTTATAAGTATTATTTATAACTCACAATGTCAAAGCTATTTTTGTGGTAGTTTGAATGGACTGCTGTCCTCTTCACCTTTTCCTCTTTTCGCAATCTTGTTTTAAAATATGAAATTAATTAAAAACAGAAAATAATTGCTTAGTGTTTATTGAAAATTTAGGGGATTGTCTTTATAATAATAATAATAGTAATAATAATAATAATAATAATAATAATATACTTTACTTTTTACACGGATACACTTGATTCACCCAAGGGTGTTTTTCGTCAAGGCCGTGCAAGGCCATATGCAATGTAACAAAATACAAGTGATAAAATGCATGTGATAAAATGGGAAAATTCTTCTACATGTCACTGACATCCAATTTCCAGAGTGATGTAGATTTATTTGGTTGTGGCTGGGTTCATTGTCCATACATACAGAAAAAGCATGCCGCGATGGTACTTATATGATATTGAAAAATAGACAACACGAGTTGTGGAGCAACTTATCAAAAGGATTTATGGAAACTGATCTAAAATCTATTCCAAACTCTTAAAAAAACTTTTAGTTTACTTACTACAAGTAAAACACATAATTCAAAATTTCTAAAAAACATAATTAAGTGTTCACAAAGATAGTAGGCCCTACACTAAACGATGAATGAAAATGAAGGTATTTTTTAATTAAAAAAATACAAAACAAAAAGTATATCGCACCTCAAACACATCAAGTGTTCACCACCTTTGGGAAGGGATGAGGAAATGTCATGGAAGCACATGTCATCAGCTGATGTACCAGACATCAATTTTTCGGGGCTGAAGTACAATATTAAGAAAACAGTACATCAATGCATATAATTGTTTCAGGTACCGTACTCGCGCGAATAAGCGCCTGGGCGCTTAAAATATTTTTTGCACTTTTTGAGGGGCGCTTATTCGAACGGGGCGCTTACCAAAACAGTGTGGAAATTGAGAGGGCACTTATGGAAATAGATGAAAATCAAGGGGTTCTTATGAGAACTTATTAAATTCAAGAGGCACATTTTGAATGAAAAACGATTATATAAGGACATCAGGAAACCGCAAATTACGAATGGTGGTGCGGCGAAAAAGATAATCGCCCAGAGAACATGGATTGTCATGACAAGAATGTTGTGAGCACAGTATTAATAACAGCAGAAAAGCAGATGAAAGTGGTGGTGGTTAGCTTGTTGGCCATCGGCCGATTGAGATTAGCAGGATGGCATGATCACTGCAGGTTTTCTTAAAAACTCAGATGAGAATGTGTTAGGCTATAAGATAAAAGTTGGAAATATACTGTCTGTCCAGGGAGCTCTCATCTGTCCAAGATAAATACCCTCATTTTGATATTGACTAAAGGAGAATGCGATTCCACTCCACACCTTAAATCATGCCAACATCTACAGTCCTCGATTGATTGAATTATTGAAGGGCGTTTATTCAAATTAGAAGGGGGGGCGCTTATTTAAACGGGGCCCTTAAGGAAATTTTCACGTTAGGAGGGGCACTTATGCAAGAGGGGCGCTTATTCACGCAAGTACGGTATGCTTACAAAATACTCATCATATAATCATTTCCTTATTATCCTGCACTTCAATCAATATTTTGTTTTACGTAGGCTACACTCAACGGGCTTAAAGCTTTCTTTGTTTATGTAGGTAGCTTTGATCAGTAGGGTAATGCTTAGTAGCAGGTCACTTCGGCTCAAAACCAACTCGGCCCCAAGTTAGCTAAGGGCCGAGTTTGTTTTGGGCCAAAGTGTCGTCTGGTCCGAGTTGGTTTTGGTCCAAGTTGGTTTTAGTCCGAGTCGGTTTGAGCTGATTTGGTTTTGGGCCGAAGTGACCAACATTCTTAATGCATTGATCTTTTGTTTATTCATACTGTAGCTATATCACCTACTAGAGGTAATGTTTTGATTGGTTGAACACTTTTGGTACTTGTGCATAATATAAGCTTACAATATGGATAATTTTTCATTCCTGATGATGACATAATTAAGGTTGAAATATTGAATCCCGACAAGATGGCGTGCATTTCAATATTTGAAGTATGTATTATACTATCTTTACCTGCAAACAATCTCAAGTTCATTAAGAGTTGTATCTGGAACATCCATCATCTGTCCAATTTCTGACTTTTTTTGCTTCTCCTCTTCATCCTCATTTTCAGGCCCGAAGTTGAAGCTACTTGGAAGAAGATCCTCATGTTCTAGGAGTTGACCACAAGCTTCCAGGAAGCTGCCAACCTGAACCAAGTCCGATACATTTGTACGACTTGAATTCTCAAACTTCTCAAAAAATTTGCTGGCATCCATTACTATATCTATATAAGAATGTAAAAAGTGTATAATCTTCTATGAATAAAATGTTTGGTCTTTGTTTGAAATCACTTATTAATTAATAATTAAATTATGAATAATATATTATACTGGGTAGATGTATTTATGAAGATAATATTAATACAGTTCATTTGCATTCATATTAAAACTAGGCCTATTTTGGATACTTGGGGGGGGGGGGGGGGGGGGGGGGGGGGGGGGGGGGGGGGGTGGGGGGGGGGGGGGGGGGTTGTCGGCTCTCTCCCAAAATGTGATTAAAAAAAAAAAATTGGCTGGATGGGAAAACTAAGCCTATTTTTTTTTTCTTTTTGATCCGAATGCCCGACGAGCTTTGGCCGATGCGGGGGTGGGGGGAATGACCAGACCGATGGGGGCTGAAGCCCCCCTGCCCCACCCCCGCTGGCGCCGCCACTGAATAATAATGACTTCAGACTCCAGTCATTGACATGCACCTAGTTTTTGGGCCTACTAGGGCTATCACTGGCACTGCAGTGTCATTAGTGAGTGCTTTTTTGATGATTTTCTTGGCGAAAGTTTTCTTCCCTAATCTCTTCTCAACATAATATTATCATAATAAATGATGAATGGCGGTACTTCACCAATATTTTCTCAATCAATCAACTCCTCCATCTCAACATATCATCATCCTAGAACAGTCACCAACTTCCAGAATCCCTGATTTGGTGTGTTGTTTACGTTCTTTTGCGCATGCGTTCTTACATTTTAACCTTTCTAGATTCAACATGATTAATTGAACAAAGTAATTAAATACATTTATATCTTTTCAGATATTTTATAATATATAATTTAATAAATTTTTATTAAGTAATAAATATTTATATAATTGTATATGCTTTAATAATTTAACATATTAGTTAGAATTACTCTTATTGTATAACATTTTCGACTATGCCAAAACTCGTGAACAACATGTCTGCCTCCATGGGTCGATGTTTTGACGTTTCGCTTGGAAAACTTGATGTGGACCTTAAAAATGTGAAAAGCATACTCGAGGCACCAGGCAGAAAAGTTCTGGCCTTGTTATTTGTCGATGGACATGTCTCTTTAATTGAAAAAGACAAGCCCCTGGTAGCTGATTTGCGTAGACTTTCCGGTATTGACAGGTAGGTAAACATCGACTGCATAAATAATAATGCAACCTCATCATCGGGCAGCTCCGCCCTGCCAAAACAGCAGCAAGGCAAGCCGTACAGTACTAGGCCTAACCCTAGGCCTAGGAATTCTAGACTGGACCCTGCAGTAGGCTAGTCTCTTTTGTTGTTGCCATGAGTAGAACATCACCAATCGTTTTAGTTTTAGGCTTTGTAGTAATTTTCGCCTATAATATAACCACGTCCACTGGCAAGTAAACAAGGACTTACCCTTATTCCTGTGGCTCCCGCGTAGCGATGATTACCACAAAGAGGCTCGAAGAAGCCAAACTGTACCGTTCATAGTACCTTGTACATAGCAGCACATGCTTCTTGATATAGCTTCAGACCTCGAGTGCCATAATCTTGCCAGGTACCCAAGGTCGGCTGTGCAGCACACCCGGCTGTGGGCTATGCAAATGAGCTGACCTGGAGGTCATGCCCTCCTGCGTAGATCAGGAATACGAACGTACGGGGGTCGTCACTACAGCTTGTTTACAAACCCAACATTACTTAGGCCTAGGGCCTATACTATGAGTAAAGTATTATTAATAGGCCTAGGCCTATCGGTTTGTCTTCATGTATGCTGTAGGGCAGTGGCTATCGGCACGGAAGTAGGTCAACTCGGCCACAGTCAACTCGGCCACAAGTCAACTCGGCCACAAATCAACTCGGCCACAAGAAGTTCGGCTACAGTCAACTCGGCCGCAAGTCAACTAGGATGCCAGTCAATTCGAGCGGATGCCAATTCGAGCGGATGCATTTAGTGCAAACTACAACAAGGGCGAATTTAACGTTGCCCTATTTTTGTATTTGTTTGTTTTAAATGCAAAAAATGCTCTGTGCACTAAAGTTCTGAAATGTTTTTGGTACTTTTTGATAATTATTCCATATTTGAAATACAGTCTTGGCAAATCCGACTAAAAGATGGCCGCTAGAAAGCACTTAGGCCCTATATTTTAAAACTATAGAATTTCGCACGTAGAATTCACGGTTTTTATCTCCAGTCTATCTATTCTGAAACTGTTGTGCCCATATCCCGCCGTTTGAAAAATTCAGGATCCTCCAGCCCCTGTGACAAGACTATCAACAGAACAGTAATAGACATCATACCAATTTTCTCCACTATTCAACCATTCGTCTATATAGTTTAAAACCCACTAAACTAAACATTATTTTTATGAACGAAACGTAGATATGTTTAATTGTAAATTGGTAACCTTATAAATCAATTAAATACAACTTTTTTTTAAACATAAGGCTACAGGCTTCTCCTCCGGACCCGACCAGGGCTTTTCCCCTGGCTCTAGTGGCGTATCTAGAAGTCTTGAAATGGGGGTGCTGATTGGGGGCGTGAAGGTAAAGTGGGGGGGGGCTCGATGATCAGTTGAGGGATGCTAACTCGCAAATTAAGGTGATTTTTAACTACTTGCAATTTTTTTGGGAGGTGGGGGCGACTGGGAGGGCAAGTAATTTTTGGAGGGGCATCCGCACCCCCCCCCCCATGCACCCCTAGATATGCCAGTGCCTGGCTCCCAGGCAAGCCTGAGCCTCGGCCGAATGCAAATTGTTAGTTAAAAATAGGAAATTTTAAAGTAATTCGTACATAACTCGAATCCGCTCGAATTGACTGGTTCCCAGTCAACTCGGCCACAAGTCAACTCAGCCACAAGTTAACTCGGCCACAAGTCAACTCGCCAACAAATTATTTATAATATATAACATGTTATATATATAAAAAAAATAATTAAAATGAAATGTAAATGTAACTCAGTTTTTGCATCCTTTTTCTTCAATATGATTGAAATGAAGTACACAGTAGTCTTGTTTATGCAATTGTTTTTTAAAAATTTTAACGAAAATCTATTTTATAATTGTGCTTTATATATTTTACATGTATTACTGTATTTGTCTTGTTATACTGTATGTTTTGTATTTGTTATGGGCCTCTTTGAGTCAGCATCGCTGTAAGAGCCACCCTCATAAAAGAAAGTTGAATAAATAAATAATAAAGAATATTGTAAAATTCTGATCATCGTCGTGAGATTGTTGTACATGTATTCATTTCTTCACACTGCTCTTATTCAACAGAGAAAACCCGCCAGGTACAGAATGGAATAAAATCTGACAATAATGTAACATATAACAATTTGAGCAATCTTAATAATTAAGAAAAACACATATATTAATGTTTAATTTTTTTCATGTTAAAACACTGACATAAAACATGAGTACATACTATAGACCTAATCATAAAAAATTGAAATAGAAAAACCACATTATGATTTTGTAAATGTTAAAAATTTATTTTTAATCCGATTAAAATCAAATGAATGCACGATGGCGTGCATTTCGATACTATTTTCTGTAGAACCACACCCAAAAATTAGGCCTATGTTAAATTAGGTGGGGCGCATAGCATCTAGTATCAATTATCCGCCATAGGAACAATTGGTATTGTTAAGTGACAGACATTTTACTTCAGTCCTTCATATTTGTTCGACCAATGGGGTTCATGTTTGAAACCCGTCAGTGGCAAGGATGCATTCGATGACGTGAATCACCGGTGAAAGGTAACTTGAACAAATTAGGGAATCAAGGCCATAGCCAGCATTTGTAAAAGGGGGGGGGAGGGGTTCAAATTTTTTCAGAAAAGGGTGAATTTTAGTAATTTTTTTATCTAAAATTGGTTGAAGGTTAATAATGTTAAATTTACAATTTTTCTTATAGACCAGCTGCCTTTAGAACTTTTCACCAATGACAGAATTTTTGTTAGTACTAAGTGCTAATTTTCATGACCTCAATCCTTAGATGCCTAGAAATGTCACTCTATATAAATTTTACACTTTTAAAAGGGCAATTCTTAAAAAAGGAGGTTCGTTTGAACCATGGCTACCGGCCTGGGAATGATCCAGTGAATAGCAATGAGGTAATGGATTTTTGTTTTTAATTTCAAAAATGGTAATTGGTAATGATACTGTATTTGCAAAATAATTTAGATATCCAAAATTACAGTACTAACACCGAAGCAATAACATTTGAAAAACAAAATAGATGAAAAAGGTCGATAAAATTTAAGGGAAAACCCATGATGAAAACTGTAGTAATAAGAATATTCATATTCGTAAAAATGAATACAGAAGTAGGCCTATAGAAATAAAAATTTCCCCCGGACATTTTGTCATTTTTGACAGAACAATTTCTCCCGACTTTTGCCACCCACCCCTTGACACCTTCTCATATTTAATTTCAATTATACATTTTATTTTTATTATTTATTTTTTTATACAATAGTATAGAAATAAAAATTGCCACTCAATATTTATAAAAACCGAAAGGTCCGCTGATTAATCTCAGAACAGTTTACTGTACGTACTCCAAGTATTTAAATAGTCTACACGACATTGTGTTGGGATTCAATTTGACATTAATTATGTCATCATCGGGAGCAGGCTGGTATCATCGGGAGCAGGCTTGTTTCCCCCCGGACATTTTGCCCAGTGTCATTTTCCACAGAACGATTTCTCCCGGGTTTTTTGCCACCCACTACCCCTTTACATCTTCTCATATTTAATTTCAATTATACATTTTATTTTATAATACATGTACATATTAATTTTTTTCATTTTACTTATTGTCATCCACGTATCATAGACATTAATATTCCAACATGGTTAGTGGAGCTTAGGCATTGCCCATAATATCTCCTTTTAGATAACTAATAACTTACGGAAGTAGGCCTCTTATAATGATTATTACAAGAAAATCTTACTGACGTCGTGTGTTCGTCTTCTGTTTACTCACAAAATTCTACTTCAACAATAATTTTAAACAAAAATAACGACAATAAATTAATAATATTTACTTTAATAATACTAACTAGTCATAATAACGATAATAAAGGTGATAACAACAATATTATTAGTAATATTTATTTTAACAATACTAATAGTAATAATACTAATTGGTAATAATAACGATATTTAAATATTTACTTTAATAATACTAATTAGTGATAATAACGATATTGAAGGTGATAATAGCAATAATAACAACAATAATAAATTAAATATGTTTTTTTTTTATAATAATAATAATACTAATTAGTAATAATAATCATGATACTTATAATACTAGGCCTACTTAGTAATAGTAGAGTAATAATATCGATAATAAAGGTGACAACAACAACAATAATATTAATAATAATAATAATATGAGAAAATTACCAATAAAACACCAATAACAATAATTTTAAATTACTATTATTAAAATAATAATACTAAGACTAATAATAATAATAATGATATGAATAATTATAATAATATGAATAAAAAAATAGAGAATTATTTATTAAAATAATAATACTAAGACTAATATATAATAATAATAATAATATGAATATGAATAATAATATGAATAATTATAATAATATGAATAAAAAAATCTATTATTTATTATTATATGGTAACAATAATAATAATATCAGCAAAAATTTAAACAATACATAATGTTAATGCTAAGACTAATAATTAATATTAAAACTAATGGTAATAACAACAATAATAATGACAACAATAATAACAGCAATAATAATAACAATAAGTTATAGTAATACTTAAAGAATTAGTATTTTATACTTCATGAATTACTCCTTCAAAGTGTAGTACCAGTAAATAGGCTGCAGTTGACTTGTGATTGAGTTGACTTGTGGCCGAGCTGACTGTAGCCGAACTTTTTGTGGCCAAGTTTGACTTGTGGCCAAGTTGACTTGTGGCCGAGTTGGATCAAATTCATCGGCACTGCCGATTTTGCACTGTCGCAATGCGGAAAAAAAGCTGCTGTTTTCTGTCGGCACTGCCACAGTGCCAAAAAGCTGCTGTTTTCTATCGGCACTGCCGCAGTGCCAAAAAGCTGCTGTTAATTAATTATGGTATCAATAATTGATTAGGTCTAGCCTAGCCTATATTATTGTTAACATTATATTATATATGTTTTACAGTTAATTACAATTATTTCTAATTAAATTATTAAATATAGGTCTATACATTATATATTATATAGGTCTAGGCATATACATAAAAAAACCAAAAATAATTATGATAATAATAAATAATAATAATAATAATAATAATTTTATGATAGTTTGATTAATGAGGTAATAATAAATCAGCATATTAAATGAACATCCATGCAAATCCTGCTTTTAAATAAAAATGTTATCTATTTTATTGTGTTTTAAAAAATAATCTTATCAATTATAAGTTTATTTTCTGTGATAATTTTATCCACATAATTCATGTTTTCAATGTTACTATGGTTGATAAATATTATATAAAATAATAATAATATGGTAATAATAATAATAATGGTGCTTCAATAATGCTTTAATAAAGAATTAATAATACTTAAATAATACTTCAGTAGGCCTGTTTACTATAGTGTGATTAATGAGATATTTGTTGATTAATTTATAGAAATATATAATGGGTACATACCATTAATAATGATTCAGCATATATTAAATCAATTTACGTCTATATGTAAAATCTGTTTTTTTTTTCAATTAAATGTTACCTATTTTATTCTCTTTCAAAAAATAATAACGCCGGATGTTGTTAAACATAACAAAAGACAAAAGCAAAAGCATCGCCATCTTCGTATTTGTCAGTTAGAAATAACGACGATAAGCATATAATTAGTTTATAGTTTTTATTATAGTTATAATAAAAATTATATATATGGTATATATAAATATATGTATAAATATATATATATAATTATTATATGCAGTGTTACGTCACAATACCACGTGGTATTACTCTGTTGCTATCGTTGCAAAACGTGTTCAACCGAACGCCATTTATTTTCACGGACAAACCATTGATCCCAATTTCTGACGTAATTATTAAGATGTTGTATCTCACTTTTTCTTTGTAAATTTTTATTGATCATTAAGTGTGTGTTCGATAACTAATATAATGCAAGCCTTTGTCTTTTTAGTACATTTTAATGGTAAAAAATATTAGATTTTAAAATGCCTATTCCAGAAAGCCTATGAAGTCATTTAGGCGTAATGAACGGTAACCAATGTCTGTTACCAACAGAGAGCGCCACCAATTGTTACAATAATTATGATAAAAAGTAAAGTATAATATGATTGGTCGACATTTTAATAGAATATAATGAACATGGTGATAGGACAAAAAAACTAAGGGGCGGAGTAAGAATAGAATTAATTAACAAATAAATTAATTGGGAACTGTAATTATAATGAGGCTAATATCAATATGGGAACGCAGATCTCAGTTGGCAATAACATTTATTTAAATATATATTGTACTAGGCCTACTGTAGTGAATGATTTGGTTTGGTGCTACGAGAGGGTTATACAACAACGGATGTCGAGGCAATCCCACTTTACTACTAGTGCTTTCCTATCTGTAGACAATGTAGGGAAGGAACCATTGAACATTGCTAGCTAGGCCTAATCAATCAAAATAAAATTTAGTTAACATAATTTACTTATGCTTGGGCCTAGGTCAAATAGTTTCAAATTGAAATTACCAGACTTAAAGGCCTGTGTTTGAATATATTCTAGAAATCTGTCTGCATTTTCTGTGCAAATGTAACCTGGATTTTTGTGTGTCATCTACGCAATTAAAATATGGTCAAATTAGTCCTAGGCCTAACTAGATCTGTTTATTTGTTATTGCTTATCTCAATATCAGTTTCTGTTGGTGCGAGGGATACAACCACTTAGATCAGCATCTAACCTTCCGAACCTACAATTCTAAGTTGAAATGTATAAATGAATGGAGCATCCAGCTATCAGATGAAGGTGGAATTATCAACCAGCGAGCAGAATGGAAATTATGTGACACAATTGCAGATATTAAAAGAAACTACAAAGGTAAATGATCTTGTTGGTTAAAAGTTATGAAAAGAAAACTCAGAAATTATAATTACACCAAAATTAAGTTCAGTTATGATTGAGTTGGATGTATACTTCATAACGTTGGAATGATTATACAAAATTAACATTTACTTTTTTTAAGTATTTTTAAAAATTTCTTTAAAAAATTTATTAAAAACAAAGCAAAATAACAATAAAATGGCAAAATAAAAAAAAAAATCAGTCATACAACAGTACCCCAAAGATTGCCTTATATAAAAAAAATAACTATCATTCAATGTGCTTTCCGATTAGTGAATAAAGTAGGCCCCTATTTAAAAATGCATGACTGCAGTGTTACAGCCTTTGACAGATTAAGAATTTGTTTAACTCTAAATTGTCTTTGTTGTATTTTCTGTAGAGATTCCAATCCACCCAGAAATTTGTATTCTTCAACTTAAGTATTGTCTGATTCTACTGGTACACGATGTTGTTGTGGTGGCAAAACTGAATTTTTCTGGTTTGGTTGACATTGTAAGGAGCTTTCAAGTAAGAGAGTTTACATCTGAAGGTTCTGTTACAGACATTGTTGTCAAGAAGAATGTTGTTTTCATTCTCAAAGAAAATGGATTTGTATGTATCCTTAAAAGAATAGGTTAGGCCTACTGTAGCTCTAAACGAAAATTACCATTAAAAAAGATTGGGAAAAATATAAGTTAACTTCTAAAATTAATAATTAATAAGAGTTGGGGACAGACAAGATTGGAGCATTTTATGTTAAGCTACAGGTATACAATTATTCTTGTATCTAAAAAAAATATTACAAGTGAAATTTGGCTCAAAATTGTTCTAGTAAAAATAAATGTTAAAGCATATTATCTACTTAAGGTTAATAAAAATTGGCAGATATAATGTTCTCAGATTCTAACAATTACCAAATCTATATGCTATATAGGTTGTTAGTTACCTTGTCAAGTTTGAATATTTTCTATTAATGAGTTTGATTAGCTATTTACTCATTGACACATGGTCAACTTGTTGCTGTTATCAGATTGATTGATTACTGGAAGCTGCTTTTTCCAGGTGCTGGAATCCTGCCACAGAATGGCAAAGCAACTCATCTGGCTGTCTCCTCAAACCTTTGTCATCTTTTGGTTTATTTTACTGGCACAAAATTTGGTTTGCATCACATTAATTTGGATGAGTACTTCTCTACTCACATATATAGTTTTCAAAAAATAGACACACTCAATTTTGAGCAGAATGTTGATGAAGATGAAGTTGATTTTCACAAAAAAGTTAATGCTAACAACAGAGGCTGGAAAAAACAGGTTGTAGGACTCAAGAGCAAATTGCTGGTCAAAGGTCATACCAAAGGTGTCGGAACATCACCGTTACGTGACAAGTCTAAGCATTGGTTTGAGAATTTTGAGGAGAATAATCAAAACACTTCTACAAAATTCAAAGAGGAAGAGAATAAAATTACTGGATTTACTAAAAAGTTGACTCGCGGACATGACCACCTAACTAGTAAAAGAAGTTCACCAGGTGTGTCCAAAGAATTAGAAACAATTTTTGACAGAAAAACAAATCATAAATCGTTTGTATTCAAAATTCCAAGACCATGCCGTCAGTCTGAAATTAAAAATGTGTCAGTTGCCATGGAAATAGCAACATTGTGGTTCAAAGGTGACAGTGTTCATCATGGAATGTTTCTGCTTGTTGACCTTCAAAACAATCAACAGGAATATGTCAGGTAAGGTACCACTGTCTAGTTTCTTTGACTGGTAATTGATTTTTAATTGACCCCTTAAATAGACCACATTAAGAGTCGTTCACAATTATCAACATTTTCACTTGTGTACAAACAGTACGCTAGGTGGGAGGGGGTAGCAAATTTGTAGAGGGGAGGGAGGGGTACCGAAAAATGGTAATGTTTGTACACTTGTGAAAATGTTGATAATTGTGAACAACCCCTTTTTTACCAAGTATGACATCAGCAAATTCTTGTCTACTGGGTACAAATACATTAATAAACTCACAACACCTATTTACAACACTGAGCATTTTGGAGCTGGTCTACAAAATACTGAAATCAGATGAATGTCTATCAGAACAATGCAGTACTGCCATTTTGACTGTTGTATTAGTGTGTACTGCGGCAACATTCTACATGCTTACAGCTAATGTACACACACACACACAGAGGTACCAATCAAATAACAATAGTAACCGATGACTGCTACAATAGCTGCTTGATTAAATATAAGTGCAGTATTAACATTAAAAGATATATAATAAATATGAATGAATCTTTTCAACTGGACATATTCATTTTGTGACAATAATTCACGTCCAATTTGACATCACAGGCCAATGACCTTTGGGCACAGAAGACTGGTAAATGTATAAAAAATAATTTGTCATGATAATTTTTAGCTTTACAGAGCCTACAGTTGTGTCAGTACCATGTTCAGATGGACAGGCCCCTCTGATGATAACAGAAACGACAATGTCAGCACTTGCTATTAATGTTGATCAGGAGTTCCTTGTCAACAAAGTGAGTTATCAACTTAAGCTCCATGATCAATGGATGGGAATGTAGATTAGCACAATTAATACGCACCTAACTGCAGCCATTTCCGGTTCTGCTTCTCAACCTCTGTGTTGGAGGTAAAACCCTCGTGCATTTCGCTTGTGTCCTTAGCAAGGCACAGGAGTACAAGTGGGTACCTGGTAGATTCAAACACAACTACGCTGATTACACTGCAGCATTATCAAATTTTCCGCAGGAAGCTCAATATTTCTTCCACATGGGCTTGATCCAGAGTCAGGGATAATAACGTGAAGCTCTTAAACATTAAAAGCTATACTAGTCAAACCCATTATTATTTATTATTATTACTCAAAAACATCTATGGGAATGTCAACGTTCTGTAACCAGAACCCTCCAAAAAACTATCCCATAATAGATGCATTTTTTAAACTTAGATTCTTATTTTATTTCAGGATGGTCTTACCATGGAGATATACATTTATACCGCCATGGTCTTATTATCTTTTGCAAGATTTTAGCTTGAATTTCGTTACACAAGCAGGCAATGAAAGTCCTTTATTCTATAGTACTGTAAATTTCCTTCATTTTTTTCACTATTTTTTTCCTCAATTTTTTAGGTTATGACTTACGAGAATGCAACCTTAGCTGAAAGACTCTGTGAAGGTAACAATTGGGCTCATTGCTCGATCCCTATACATGCGCTAAAAGTAGGCTTGAAGCACAGGCAGCTGGATACAATTGCATTCTTCCTAAAGTGTAGAGAAGGAGGTTAGTCTTTGATATTCCTATCAGTTGATCATTTCTAGGACACAAATACAGTAATTCCCACCAAGCTTGATGCTTTTAGGTGTTTGGTGATTAATCTATCACTTAATCTTTTAGAAACATTCATACACTGTGCTTTATTTAACATTCATACACTGTGCTTTATTTAACATTCATACACTATGCTTTATTTAACATTCATACACTGTGCTTTATTTAACATTCATACACTGTGCTTTATTTAACATTCATACACTGTGCTTTATTTAACATTCATACACAGCGCTTTATTTAACATTCATACACTGTGCTTTATTTAACATTCATACACTGTGCTTTATTTAACATTCATACATTGTGCTTTATTTAACATTCATACACAGCGCTTTATTTAACATTCATACACTATGCTTTATTTAACATTCATACACTGTGCTTTATTTAACATTCATACACTGTGCTTTATTTAACATTCATACACTGTGCTTTATTTAACATTCATACACTGCGCTTTATTTAACATTCATACACTGTGCTTTATTTAACATTCATACACAGCGCTTTATTTAACATTCATACACCTGTCTCTTATACACATCTAGATGTGTATAAGAGACAATTCATACACTGTGCTTTATTTAACATCCATACATTGTGCTTTATTAAACATTCATACACAGCGCTTTATTTAACATTCATACACTGTGCTTTATTTAACATTCATACACAGCGCTTTATTTAACATTCATACATTGTGCTTTATTTAACATTCATACACAGCACTTTATTTAACATTCATATACTGTGCTTTATTTAACCATTTTGTTGACTTTGGGGACACCTGGCCCAGTTGTTAGAAAGTCGTAAAATTTGTAGGGGAAGAAAATGAAACAATAAATTTTTCCAAGGGACTTTTGTGATATATTCACGATTTTCCCACCTTTGTTTTTAAAATCTTGCTTCTGGTATTTGGTATTCCAATCATTTTTAATAACCAGAATGTAATAGGTTATTAAATTTTGGTTAAAATGATTGGACTACTGGATACCAGAAGCAAGATTATAAAAACACATTTGTTTTTATAATCTTGCTTCTGGTATATGGTAGTTCAATCATTTTAACCAAAATTTAATAATCTAGTAGAATAAATTTTAATCCATGATGCTACTAAAGATTTAGATTTTGTAACATAGTGAGTGCTTATGCAATACCGTAACGTTAGCCATTTATGGGCGAAATGTAACTTGTTTATTTTCCTACAGCCAAACTAATGATTGATGAAGCTATGGAGTCAAAACAATCAACAATTTCATGTTGCCTGACTTGTTTACAAGCATTTCTGTGTATCAATCAGGAGGTGAAACATCCTAAATTTTTAAATTATTTTTTGATCAATTGAAAGATAATACTTAATGAAGCTGTGGGTTTGGAAGTGCTCACCTTACAATTGTAGGGGGAAAAGTTCAATCTCTTTCAGATGGCAGGATTCCACCAGCCTGTTGAATGTGAATTTAAAAAAAAAACTTTTTTATGAACAATATAATTTTATGTCAGTTTTTAGAAACCATGTTGATAGTGAGCCGATAAGCAGTACTTCAACTGATATTAAAGAACTCTGGGAAGCCATTGATTTATTGTTAACATCAATTGTAGACAACATGAGTGAACCACAGTCTAAGCAATATTCAGATCAACTTGTCCAGTTAGCTTTAACCTTTGTCAACCATCTTATCCAAAATACTTGGGAAACACAGACATTACTTCAAGTGGATTGTGTTGTTAAAACTGCCAGAGTTAAAGAAATCAAAACTACATCACAGAGACTTATGGGTTATGCATGTGACTTAAGAGGTTTTTTAAAAGATGCTCCGTCATGGTGCTCTAAAACAATAGAGGATGTGCAGCACCAAAAAGGTACATTTTCAGACTTTCAAATTTTTTTGTTTGATGTAAATTTTGTGTTGTTTGAGGAATATTTGAGGTAGTTTCTGGATTGAAAATATATTGTTCATGACTAAATTATTTGTCTTGTAGATTTAATTGAAAGTGAATGTTTAAAAGGTTATTACTGGTTTGGCAAGCAAACGCAAAGTGCCATCACAAAATATGGGTTGAAATCAAGAAAAGTGAGTCATAAATTTTATTGAAATTGAAAAATGATGACAATTATTGTGGTTACAGACCATTTTATGAATTACAGACACACATCAGGCTTGCAAATATCATTTTAACTTTTTTAATTGATAAGTTAATTTTAATATGTTTAAAAGTCTATTTCTAAACTGAACTATATTTAGATATTGTTTCTATTTATTTCTAGGCTATTGTGGAGTCTGCAATTTTAAACTCATGCCTTCCACTTGCGCAAGCTTATCTTTACCAGACCATGGATCACCCTGTTGCTATGGAATCTGCTATACCTAGCAACATATCCATGGATAAACATATTGCTATGGAAACGGTTGTACCTAGCAACAGTATGTATGAACTGATTCAAATAAGTAGGTCACTGGTGCTAAGATCTTTGATTGATGGTGATCTGAAAAAGGCCTCAAAGATTCTCTTAAATATGGTAAATCATCAATTACGCCCGTATTCTTAAAACAAACTTTAGTCGAACTTCGAACTAGAACTTCATTTAGTGCTAGTTGCATCTTTAACTTCAATTTGTATTCACAAACAATGTAGTCGAAGTTTTAACTACGACTAAATCAAGTCCTAGTTTTAGTTCAACTGAAGACGACTGGCAAGCCACGACTATCAAATTAACCAATGAAAAGGGCTAACTTTAATAGCAGACGAAATTTTAGAGATCCGGTAACGCGGATGAATATTAAGCTGCCGTCTGTGGTTCAAAAACGTATTTCCTCTTAATTCAAAATAGACCATCATTCCCTTAATTAATTGTCTATAATAATAACTATATTAGTTGTTAACATATTACAATTGAGAATTTGAACAGACACTAAAAATTTGCTTTCGTTGGAGAACTATTATAGTTGAGCCCGAGCGAGGGCGGCGCCATCTTTGTTGTTATGGTGAAGCTAGGTGATTGCAACGCGAGGAGATTACATGCAAATCAGGAACTATCGCATGTGGCTAGTGAAATTTCTCCTTTTGGAAGCTAAACTTGATGTCTCTTTTGTTTAACACACCGAAGATATATCAAACCTGCATATACAATTGTTTTTATTCGTTTCACTTTATCGTGAGTTACAAAAAACACGTTTTTAGTGAGGTAAATATTTCAAGTCAGCGCTTTAGCCTGACCCTAGTCTGACTAAAAAAATCGGCCAGCGGAGGTATCATTTTAGTCGAGGTTCACATCATTTAGTCGTAGTGCTAGTCGAAGTTCGTTTTAAGAATACGAAATGACGTAATTTTAAAGTTTTAGCTTGAACTACGACTAAAGTTCGTTTTAAGAATACCGGGGAAAGAGAGTGGAAGATTGCTTTTGCAGCATGCTGTAGTGTGTAAATTTTGCAAAATTAATTGAAATAAATACTTCTTTTTCAGGGCTTCAATGTAAATGTTGAGTTGAAGCACATTTGCATGCAGACAACCGATAGAAGGGTCAGAGATTTTTTGGTGAGTTGTTTTTATGTTTTTTCAGTTATTGGGTTGGGGGTGGGATGTAAGAGCTGTGATAACAAGTGTCTTTGTGATCTTGTGATAGTAATAGTTTTTACGATAGTATGGTATTGATACTTCTGCACTTAACTTTAGATATTGCATATCTATAATATGTGTATATATAGTTTAGATAAATGTTAGAAACATAGACAGCCTAAGGATTACCCAGAGTTCTCAACTTAGTATTTTTTTTTTAAATTTAGTTATTCGGTATAAAAAAACACAAATTACAAACAGCAGCTAAGGCTGAAATTGTTTGTATTACAATTTAAAAAGACAAATACAAAAGATTCAATGGAAAAATATCAATATTCAATATAATATATATATTCAAAATTCAATATAAAAATAGTAAATTGCATTTCAGGAACTGTGTCCCAAAAATGCCAGTATTAAATGACAAACTTACATAGCATCTAATGATTTGTCTTATGGGTTGCTTAAATTTGCACGTATAGATTTATAACAGCAAAATGGACAAGACACACATTTATGGGTCACATTTTCTTTGGTTTCACAATATTTTATCAGTAATTGTTCTCAAGGAAATGTAGATGGAAAGTCAACTTCTTTGTATATCAATAAATTGAACTATCTCACAAAGAGATATACAGACTAAAGACAACAAATCTCCTACTATTGATACCCCACTACCACCTGTAAAAGCATGTACATTGGATTAGATTTATTCGGTGTAAACGTCAAGGATAGCCCACAAAAGTCTAGAAGAAGACTTATTTCCAGTAGGATCCTTCTGGTGGTGATTGGCAGTACACTGGGAGACAATCCCCTACTCTTTTCCGAAGAGTGTACTGCGTTCTTTAACGTAAATCCACATGGGACCAGCGGTTATCAAATATACAAATTGAAGAAGGAAAGGAAAAAAAAACAATTATCCAAGCATTGCACAAAATTCAATTACAATTACATCAAAATTGGGAAGAAAAAGGCGATATAATAAAGGGGCATCATTTGAATTAAACAGAAATAAAACGAATAAAGTGAATGTCATTTAAAAGAGACCAATATTTTAGGGTATAATGTTTGTTGTCATGCATTTATTTAATTATTATTTTCATTGTTATATTATTTTCATATACTGTAATAAAAAATAATCTAAATAGGCATCTTGCTCCCTTCACACACGAGCTGTAAACACAAAGGGCTTGAAATTAACTCTTTTCCTTGGTAGCACTGCCAACATTTTCTGGCAACCCCCAAAAAATTTGGTAGCACAAGTAATTTTTTTAGTATATTTCCCCATCCTTTTCGCATCCCCTAAGATAATAAGCGCTGCGCAATATTTTATTCTTTATATTTCCTAACAAACCCCCACCCACCAACACCTACACTGGATTATTATGCAAGAAAGAAGACATGAAAGAAAAAGAGAAGAGATTTTTAAAAATTGAAAAAAACAAAAATAATAAATAAGAAATAACAAAAGGAAGGAAAGAAAAAAAAAGAAAGAAGTAAAATGGTGGAAAGAAAATGACAATGAAAAAAACTAAAAGAAAGGTAAGTATCAAAAATGAAATAAGAAAAAGGATGAAACAATATTAAAAAGAAAATAGATATTAAAGAGATAGTAAAGGAAAAAGGTGCAAGGTAAAAGATTCAACCTAACTGGAAGGAAAAGGAAAGTATTTCATGGAAAGTTTCAATTGTTAGGAATATTTCTAAGAAAATTACAAATTTCTGTTAATTATTAACAGATATACACAATATAAAAAAGAAAAACATGAGTAGTAATAATGTGCTAGCTAAACTGTCTAGTCAATGGACTGCCAAAATCTGCAGTTACTTAAGTGGATTGATATGTTGATTATAAAATTATTAATTATTATTACTGAAACATTAATTATATTTTCTGTACACTTTCTTTAAATTTTTCAGTATTTTTCTTCATTTGTGCAGGAAATTTCGAGAAAATAGGTCCGCAGAATCGCATTAACACTGCGAATGCCTATACATTGGTTACAATAGCCACCCGCCGACTTTTCTGCAACATTTGCGCGGAAATTGGCTGATTTATTTTTAATATGCGTAGATGGATTTTTTTCTTTATGAGATAACTCTAAATCAATTAACACATAATAATTTCAACCTAAACAGAGTTCCAGAGTTTTCACCAATTTCGAGAGTGCTGAGATTCCAGCTCCCCACTTGTCAAAGGCCATTTAGGCTTTGTTTTAAGCCCGAAAAATCGGCATCACACAGTCAGCCGGCGACACTTCTTATTTAGGTTATAATGTAAGCTAGAACATTAGGCCTGGGCCTGTACAACTTCAGAAAAGTATCTTATACCTACATATATAACGATCTATAGTTTCATTTTCTTGTTCAATGGTTGTTTTTATTGAGAATTATTAAAAAAAAGGAAAAAAACAAAAAACAAAAAACTGTTAGCCTTCCAACTTCGAAACTTCAGTATTAATCGCCAGAGAACATCGTCACACTTCTAGTGTTTACAAAGGTTTCGCGGAGTAACATATCCCAAACATTGCAAGTTGCCTCGAATGATGTAATATCCCAGCATTCTGATTGGTTTACAACTTGCAATGGACTCAACATACCTTATTTGCCAGCCGGTGTAGTCGGGCACACACATGGTTTGGGATGTTACTCCACGAAATATACAGTAGTTTCGTAATTGGAAGGCCTGCTACCAGTTGTTGTTTTGTTGTTACGTTTTTTGTTGTTGTCAAAACAAGAAACATTCCTTGTAGAATTATATATTTTTTTATATATCTTATAGATTAAATTAACCAATTAATTCAATTGTTGCACTTTATTAATTCCACCTTTAAAATTTAATCTTTAAATATTCATTTATATACAATTCAATTTTTATATTATTTCAAAACACGATTAAACAATCATTTTGCTTACTTTCTGCTGATACCTTGTTAAGAACGAAATAAATTGTTTGATAGAGGCCCATTACTAGTTGCCTATGAAATAACTCTGCTTACCGTCTACTACATTCAGTGAGAAAATTCCCAATTCCAGGCTCCTCCTGGTAGACACAGACACCGAGGTTGCCAGACACTAAGTCATTAGACTCTTTGTACGCCGCCGATACGAACAAAAGTAGGTCAGAAGCCGACTGGCTCGTTCAGTAAATAAATGGTAGTAAATGAGTTGCTTTCTATACTATTTCATTTAATTAGGTTTCAAAATTTCCTGTGAGACCTATTTGTTTGTTTTTTTTTGTTGTAAATTTCAAGATGTTGCTCATTGAGATGCATGTTGTTAAACTATAGCTACTCCGTGAAGTCTGGCTGAGGTTATCATCAAAGAGTATTTTATACCCTTTGTTATCATCAGCCATGTGATTGAAGAAGCGTAATCTTATTTCATAATGTATGAGGTTTAGATAATTTGTTTGGTTTTCAATAAAAGATGTTTGCCTTAATACCAGTAGTACTTTGAATATAATCATCCAGATGATGCCTAATTGTATTTATTTACGATCTATTTAGAGTTAAATTTTGATTATTGCTTGATCTGGGCCGTTTACATCGTATGAGTCAAACTGTATACGATCGTTTGAAATTTAATGGGCTGTACAAGTTGTAAATAATTGGGATTTTGAGGGAAACCACCTTCCTGCCACTTACAAAATCTACTCGCGCTATCAAATGACCTTGTCGCACTGAGCGCGACAAAGTTGAATTCCTTGTCGCACCTTAAAAAATCAGGTCGCAAATGCGACCAAATAACCCTTAATTTCAAGCCCTGCACAAGATTATGCAATGTTAAAGTTGCAAGTTCTTTAAATGTATTGACAATGCATGATAACAGATAATGCTTATCTATATCTTATGTCCACCATATACAGTTTTGGTTTCTTTTTAACAGCATATTTATGTGAGTTACTTATTCATAATATTATCTCAATCTAAGAAAATGTTTTATCAATTATTTCCTGTAGTCTATAGACAATCAAAATGTTATTTTTGTCTTGCAGATTTGTGAATTACAGAAGATGAGAGAATTTGATGTGGAAGAGATAGCTGCAATTGAATTTATAAATCATTTTGAGAAAATTTACCCAAAGCATAGCTTTGAAGAGGCAACACTGAAAGCAATGGAAAGACAGAATGAGTAAGTACCTGAAGAAATAATTACTTATACAGTAAAAGGAATTAAAATATTTTCATTCATAATGTAATATTCTTAATACTGATGAGATAAATATACTGTATGCTTCATAGCAACATAAACCAAAAAGAAAAATTAATAATGTACTTTAAAAAATGTACAAAAAGGAAAAAATATTTTTCGCTAAAAAAAAACAAAATTCACAAGTGGATACTGTATGGTTGGGGCTGAGATGAGTACATTTTAAGGATATGGCACCTCTAGATTCCCGGAATTAGCACTTTCATAGTAAAGCCCCATCCTCATTCAGTTTGTAAAACTTTGAAAAATGAATTATATTGACTGATTTTGGTGAGGTTGTCGAAATCGGACAATTCACTCAATGTTTTTAATCAATATAGTAATTTAAACAATTCTAATATCACATGGTCAATATTTTGAAAATCATAAAACTGTGTATTATACTGTATTTTTTAAATTATTCATTAGACATTGGAAGGAACCAATGATAATTGCATGCATTCCACATGAAGAGAGTAAGGCCAGTACACCATCACCCTCATTTGATGTAGATCCTTCTACATGTGATGAGAGCAGTATACCATCAACCTCACTTGATATTGATTCCTTTACCCTTGGAGAGGCTAGCATACCATCACCCTCACTGGACGTAGACTCGTTCATCCTTGATGATCATGATCATACCAACCTTCCACTGGAATGGGTGATACACTGGGACAAAGAAACTAGGGAGAGGATCTTGTTTGAAAGGATAAGTGAGCAAGATTCCAAAGGTGTGTGATTGGTCTCATTTGTTGTTATCAGTTCAAATTCATTGATCACCTTTCGTGTTAGCAACATCAACAATTTATAAGATCCTCATCATGATAATCACAATCTTTTTGACCATCATCGCCTCCGGTGTCATGGTTGCCATCACCACCGTCTTCTTAATAATCATAATATAACAGTAAGTGATATTAATAATAATAGTAATAGGAATAATATCAATAACATTAACAGTAATATTATATTATTAGTAATAGTTATAGGCATAATATCAATAACAGTAACAGTAATATTATTGAATTAGTAATAGTTATAGGCATAATATCAATATGAGTAACAGTAATATGATAGTATTAGTAATACTGTAGTAATAGGAATAATATCAGTAACAACAACAGGGGCTGAAATGAACCATAACATTGGGGTAACCCCTACTCTTCCGAAAGATGCAATGGGTACGTTAAAGTACACACGAGCCAGATGTATACATTGGACCTCGATTTTAAATCCTTATTCGAGAAGACTTGGTTCTACCAAACGAGCCATAGGTGAAGAGCTGCTAGAAGCAGCGCCGATGTTAAGGCTGCAGCTAGTGGTGGCCCTGCCTTACCACTCAGTCACTCGAATCGCCCAAATTCAAAACTATTAGTAATGTATGACTAACAAGTCTCCCACAGGCAGTAGCGTATCTGGGAATCTTGAAAAGTGAAATTCAATGATTTAGGGGGTGCCAGCTTGCAGAGCTTGGTGATATGAGGTGATTTTTATCTACTTGAGTGTAATTATTTTTGCTTTTTCAAGGGTGGTAGGGCACACCCAGCTAAATAAGTCTCAGAAATTGGCAGAATTCCTGCACTCCTGCGAGTAAGGTGGTCATAGCTACCAGATGTATACAATGTATCTCCATTTTTAATCCATATTTGAGAAGACTTGGTTCTACAATGTCAAAGTTCATAACAGTGGGATATTAATCCCTGTGTTAGATAAAAAGCTTTGACATTGTAGATTAGCTTTTTTCTATTGATTATAGTTGCTGTATATTTTTTACTTCATCATTTGATCTTGAAAATGACACCATGAAGGAGTCGAAACGTCAATCTTTTTTTTTAGCGTTATTTTTATGTTAAATATTTTACATTCACCAATAAAATTTTATTTTTATTTTCTCCTCCGTCTGGATGTTTTCGGCAAAGCTATTTGCTAAATAAGAAAACAAAATTTAATTTTTATTTTTATTCCGCCCTCCTCTGATGATATATTAAAAAATAAGTACGCGAAACATATAATAAAAAAAGTCTCGCCTAAGGCTGCACTCCTGCGAGTAAGGTGGTCATAGCTATCACCATCTCCAGCAAAATCCAGTTGGATGTGATAAGTATAAACTATAAATTCTAAAACCAGATCTCCTGGGAAGTGGCTTCCTCCAGCTTGGGACCCTGGTTGGGTGTGGATAATCTTGGTTGATGCCTGGAAGCATGTTGGGGACCAAACCATTGTCGAACATACTTTCGACAAACCTAGTAACCTACAATCAGCTGTGTAATATGGCTGTGCTCAAGAATTTGTAATTGTGTATTGGGAAAAAAGTAGTGTGTTTGTGTGTGTGTGTGTGTGTGTAGCGCAAAGTCTCAAAGTGCTTGAGGTGTGGACTCTCTTGTATAGTAATTACTTTCTCCCTTAAGGATCAATTTGTGCCTGAGCTACCTTGTAAAATAGTGCCAACTACTCTCGTCTATCAACAACAGAGGCTGTATGGACCAGTATAACAGGGTGACCCAGTACTCATCTCTTCCAACTTGTTCCACCACCAGAAACATAGACGAATGAGCTGTTCGAACCAGTGCCGATATTATGGCTGTACGTTACGGCGCCCAGCCTTAACCGCTCTGCCATTCTACTTGGCATACACCATGCAACAAATGTAAAATGCTTTGAACAAACTAAGCCTAGAAAGGCTTTCTTGACTGCAGAGCTCAATCTTTCTTAAATTTGTCTTTTGGCTCCTAATGACAAACCTTACACTCATTGTAGCATGACATATTCTTTTTTGTACAATTAATTTAAATTTTGTTTTCAAGCTCCAGACATCATTCCAGAAGAGCAAATTTCCATGGAGTCTGCGTGGCAGTATTTGACAATGCGTGCAGATTGGGAACAGATTAAAACATGGATTAAAGCCAGTTTTCCATTGGCTGAAGAAGATGCTTCAGCCATAAAAATGCCTATTAATCATCCACTAGAATTGAGTGTTGCTAACAAGTTAGAAGAAGCCCCAGATTTTATGAAGAACTGGATTTTAGATGAACTGGCAACGTAAGAGTTCATTTAGTTTGATTCTTGTATATTTATTTTGTATCTTCAAATTTGCAATCTTCATTATTGCTTGAATGATTCATAATTGATTGAGTGCTTTGTAACTGCATGAATGCTTTATAATTTCATGAATGCTTTGTAAGTACATTGCTTTATAATCGAATGAATGCTTGTAAGTACATGAATGCTTTATTATTGCATGAATGCTTACTTAGGTCATGAATGCTTTATAATTGCATAAATGCTTTATAGTTGCATTGATGCTTTATAATTGTTTGAATGCTTAATAGTTACATGAAGACTATATAATTGCATAAATGCATTGTAAGTACTGTACATAATGCTTTATAATGGCATCAATGATTCAAAATTGCATGAATGCTTTATAATTGCATAAATGCTTTATAAGTAAAGGAATGTTTTATATTATTGCATGTATGCTTTATAATTTAGAACACACATAACCTTTGTATTCTATAGAGATTATATGTTATTTCTCTCATTTTTCAATAACTTAGACGAGGAGTGTTTGCTTCAGAGGAGATGCAAGATTTTGATAAGTTGTTGAAGCGATTGAGTCGCATCCACTGTGTAATATCATCACATCATCCTCTAACTCTAGGTAGAGTGCAACTAAATATGAACAGTTTTTACAGCAAGTTTGTTGCATTTTGTGTCCAACGTGATCTACATTCGGTTCTTTATGAATTCCTTGATAATATGGAGTAAGTTGCAATCTTATCAGTCTCCAAAACATTTGAATATTAATTTAAATAAATTAATATTATTAAAATAAAAATTAAATATTTATTAAATTTAATTTCATTCATTATTTCAACTCTAGTTTTTTTATAATATTACAAGTGATTATAATTATTTACTTTGTTTTTCTATCCAATAAGCCTTTGTCTCAGTGACAGTGATGTTACCAAGTTGGAATTACCTGTTAACAAATGTCCATGGCTAAATATGATGCTTCACTTCAGATGGGTTGGCAAATACCTTTCAGGTAGGTTAAAGGTTAAAGAGCAAAGGTCCAGTTTATTAAGACATTTAGTTTCTGAATGTTTATAACATTTCACAATTTTGGATAACTTTGGAAACTTGAAAGTCTTGATAGTTCAACTCTATGTGGGATGTTACATTCATCCTGTGTGGTATGAATGTCATAATCAAAATATATAATGATCAATGTGCTGTAATGTTTAGAATGTACTTATTCTCATTAGATTAAACTATTTAATACTAAATTTTATTCAATAATTTGTTTTGACCGTAATTATTTGTGGGAAAGATAATTCATGAAGGTTCAACAAAGAAACCAAATAAAAAAATTGATAGTATGCTTTGTTCAGATGTATTAAAATTTTAACAATCAACTATTTAATATTCTTTGAATACAGATCCAAGTTGCATGTTTCAAACTAGCCTTGCTTGCTCCAGAGTGTTCCTAAAAACAGTTCAACCAACTGTGATGTCATTGCTAGAAGCTGGTAGGGCATTAGCTGCCATGGCAACACTAATGTATGCACCAGGTACCCTTAAACAGGTAATCTCTTATGTTTAAGTAATGTACAGCATTTTGATATTCATATTTATAATACCATGTCTTAAAAATTAAATGAAAAGCACTGTCTAATAGTGATATCATTTTCATAATTTTTTCAGTTGTGTTTTCACATTGATGCTTTATGTGTTCAGTTAGTAACATTACATATGTTTTTATGTGTTGTGTACATTATGTAAGCATACAAACCTAAGAATCACATTTAGTATATTAAATTCATTTTAATTATTTTTGTGTAGAGCGATGGATCTTAATAAAATCTTATGTTTTCTTTTGACTTGGTATTCTAATTTCACTAGGCAATGACTCCTGTTGAAAACTCTGATGAGGAACTCTGGAAAGTGGATCATGAACTTTTGGAGAGTTCATTGCGCTCCTTTGGCACTCTGCACTCTGCTATGTTTCCAAGCAGGGTTGATGGTGTGCCATTGCAACATGTATCTCTCTATGAACTTCTTCAGGTGAGCTGCTCATTATTTTCATTTTTGAACATTCTTCTTTAGAATTAAGTACACAACACTGTATGATTTAGGGCTATTAGGGCACACATTCAAGGTAAGAATTCAGGGCATTCATTAAGAGCAAGAATTTGAGACACTTATCCAGGGTAAGCATCTCGGGCACATATCCAGGGTAAGCATCTGGGGCACATATCCAGGGTGAGCATCTAGGGCACATATCCAGGGTGAGCATCTAGGGCACATATCCAGGGTAAACAAGTAGAGCACACATCCAGAGTAAGAATTTGAGACACCTATCCAGGGTTAGCATCTCAGGCACATATCCAGGGTAAGCATCTTAGGCACATATCCAGGGTAAGCAAGCAGGGCATGCATCCAGGGAAAGAATTCAGGGCACATATCCAAAGTAAGCAGTCAGAAAAAGCAACTAGTACAAGCAATATAACCATAATATCGATTACCAATGTGAACTACAGCAATATGTAATTGCTTTTGTTATTCCTTGGCTCCTAGATGATTGCCATTTCATTTATACTTTCTGTGTTTGTTATGCTTTTGAAGGTTAAATAAAGAATGAATGACAAAAAGCTAATTCAAACTATTCTATATTGACATATTTCCAACCATCTAAGCCTCATATTTGTGTGCATTGTTTTTATAAGGTTTGTTAATTATTTTAAAGAAATGTTGTATCAAACTGCATGGGCAGTTTGCGAACTATGTAAGATAATTTTTCAATAATGATACTACAAGAAGACGTATAAAACATATTCCAAAAAGTGATAAAAGCCATGTTGATTCAATATTTGAACTTTATTCATTCATCTACAGTTCATTCATTACAGACAGCAATCATTTATATTTCTGTCATTGCGAAAAATAAAAAATATACTTGTTTAGTTTCACCGCCCAACCCTGATTTTCTAGCTGCCTCTCTTTTTCTTATTTTTTTTTTTGTTAAAGAGTGATGAAAATCGACTAAAAAATGCCGATAATAGAGGAAAAACAATTTTTTTCATCTTCAGCACAGGGAACAAGATGTGAAGTGCGCCACCAACATTACATGTGTGTGTTTTTCTGTACATAGGTTGCGTAGTATATTGGCCTACTACATTAGACAATCTTTTACCTTGCAATAGGCTATACACCGGACGATTTGATCGGTAGTATATTAGGCGTACAAGTTTTTATTTGGTTCTTTTTAGATAATAAACAATGTTTTAAATATGATAATAATAAAGTATGGGGTGCCATACGCAGCAAAAGTCCATGTTAAAATCAAAATGTAATTGCAAAATTCAATGTCTGATTTATCAAAACGTAGTTCAAATTTTCCAAAATGTAGTTCTAATTTCTTTAAAATGTAATTCAAATTCAAAACGTAGGTCTGAATTAATCAAACGCCCTCTCCAAACTCTATTCCAA